AAGACCCACCAGTCAGAATAGCCATTTGAATGGTTCTTCTGTTGGACCCAGTACATTGGTGAGCAACAAGCAATGGATAATCATTCAGGTAATTATAAGATATAGGAGATAAAACACTATAAATATCATTTACTTGTTTCAACACATTTTATATTATTATAGCTATCATAGCACGCACTCTGTGATTAGTCAAATGTTATTGTTTATTTCACCGGTAAACGCACGAATGCGAAAATGCTATAATATAAAAGCAATAAACAATACATTTTCGTGCGTTGCTGCTGAGATATATCCTTGGGGTATTTGGAAAACATTCAAAACATGTCAAAAGGCTAAAAATCCCTCCTCTCCGGCTCGAGATTTTTTACGCGTTTTTCGTGTTTTCCCAACATCCCACGTGGTTTATTTCACCAGGAACGCAAAAAAAAGTGTTGTTTATTGCTTAAATAAATAACAAGATTAAACTTTCAGGACTTTGTCATTTTGGGTGCTTCTTCCCTATAGGGTTAGCGTCATTCTTGTACCCAGATCCTTCTCAGTTTCTCAATGGAAAATCGAAGGCTCTGGTTGTAGACAATAGTGGAAGACCCAGAATCTGACAGCGCACATTGGTCTCCTACCAGAGTCTTTCAATTTTCGTCTAGAAAACGCAAAAGGATCTGGATACGAGAATGGAATAGTTTATCACAAAGAAACTTGCTTATTCTCGATTTTGCAATATTATGAGGCGAAGCAAATAGGACTGGACAGGATGCATTGATGCATTGATGTGTGATTGTATTGTAATATTTTTTAACAGATTCCAGTGAATTACTTGGAAAATAACTGGCCAGTTAGGGTATGTGTGTATCTTATGTTTGTATTATTTATGTGTAAATTGATTTTATCATATTATATATGAAATACCTATATTTCTCCATTGCGTAAAGTTGATATTTTCACTAGTGAAAATAACACATTCGAGGTTTCTCTATATAGTGGAAGTAAGAAAAAGCTATTTTACAACATAATTTGCTTTCATATGTAATTATACATGTATGATAAACAGAATATTGCATGGTCGCTTGGTGATATGAATTTATCTTCTTGTGTTGAAAATCTATTCGCTAAGCTCACTCGTGAGAGATCTTTTCAGCACTCGAATATAAAATCCGTATAGTATCCGCGCGCCCATGTAATATCCTCTATGTCTATTCTATTGATTGTATTCTATCCAATTTTGAGAATAGTCAATATTGCTTACTCCATATACAAAACATTTTTTAAAAGTTGTAGATGTTTTCTTTGCATTGAACCATTGATATTAATGTAATTCACGTTTAGTATGCTGCAGTTCACCAGACGGGCTCATTTGTTGCCGTTGCTGGTAAGGCTGGCATTGCACATTACTCTCTTAACACGAGAAAGTGGAAACTCTTTGGGAATATCTCACAGGTTTGTATAAATGACAGCAAGGGAAATAATAAAACTACAGAGATAGTTGTGTAAAAAGATAAATTAAACACCGTCAAAAAGTAGGTGAAGTACTTACTGACGTTTCGTCAGGATTAACGTCCGAAACGTCAGTAAGTTACTTCACGTACTTTCTTACGGTGTTTAATTTATCTTTTTACACAACTGTTTCTTTAGAAACACCGACGCAGCTCACACTAGTTTACCGCTAGTTCCCACCATTTTGACTACAGAGATATCCTTTCGAAATTATTTTCCTTTCTACCTGAGAGAGTGTGTTTTTGCTTATATTACGATGTGTTTTCAAACATAAATAAAAACTAGTAAGGGATAATTTGATTATTTTTATGCAGGAACAAAGTATAACATGTCGAGGAGGTCTCGCGTGGTGGAAGGAATTCATCATTGTACCTTGTTT